TTCTGTGGGTACTCAGCCTGGGGTCCCACTGACATGTCTGTCTGTAGATGTCATCACTTGTATTAATAAATCTGGTTAACAGGCCTGGTCAAAGCTATGTGTCCTATGAGTGTGACCTAGTGTAGTTCTTTGTGTCCAAGAGAGGTTTCCTCTCCTGACTCTTCCTCTCCCATCCTTCTTCCCAGAGAGGTCCTTCAGAGAAGTGAATCTGAGCTTGTTACTCCCCTGCTCAAAACCCTTCAGTGGCCTCACATTGCCCAAAGCTTAGAATGCACAGCAGAGAAGACCCATGGATACCTAACGGTCTTCATCTTTAGTCATTCTGGTGATACCTTCCTACTTGTAACTCTCTCCCATTTCCTGCCTCTGGGTTCACTTAATTCTGTCCAGTCTGGAATATTTCTTTCTTGTTACCAAGCAAACTCTTAATCTTTTTTGTCTCTGGTGAAGCAACACCTCCTCTGAGAAGCCTTCCAGACTTGCCCCTGCCCGGTTCAGTTAGGACCCTCCCCTGTTCTCCAACATACCTTTTCTTTTTTTTTTTTATTAAATCATAACTTTGTACTTTGATACATTTATGGGGTTCAGGGTACTGCTTCAATATACAGTGTGAAATGCTTACATCCAACATACCTTTTATTGTCATTTAAACTGTGAGCTCTGGGCAGCACCTGTGGCTCAGTGAATAGGGTGCTGGCCCCACATATGAGGGTGGTGGGTTTCAACCCGGCCCTGGCCAAACTGCAATTAAAAAAGGCGTTGTGGCGGGCACCTGTAGTTCCAGCTACTTGGGAGGCTGAGGCAAGAGAATCACTTAAGCCCAAGAGCTGGAGGTTGCTGTGAGCTGTGACGTCACAGCACTCTACCGAGGGCGACAAAGTGAGACTCTGTCTCTAAATAAATAAATAAATAAACCGTGAGCTTTTCAGGTTGGGCTCAGTGGCTCATACATGTAATCCTAGCACTCTGAGAGGATGAGGTAGGTAGATCGCCTCAGCTCACAAGTTTGAGACCAGCCTGAGCCAGAGTGAGATCTCATTTCTAAAATAGCCGGGTGATGAGTGGCACCTGTGGCTCAGTGGGTAGGGCTCCAGCCCCACATACCGAGGGTGACAGGTTCGAACCCGGCCCTGGCCAGCTAAAAAACAGCAGTGGCAACTGCCACAAAAATAGCGGGCGGGCATTGTGGCGGCTGCCTGTAGTCCCAGCAACTTGGGAGGCTGAAGCCAGAGAATCTCCCTAGCCCAAGAGCTGGAGGTTGCTGTGAGCTATGACGCCAGGATGACAAAGTCAGACTCTGTCTCAAAAATAAAATAAAATAAAATAAAATAGCTGGGCATTGTGGCAGGCACCTGTAATCCCAGTTACTTGGGAGGGCTGAGGCAAGGGAGTCGCTTAAGCTCAAGAGTTTAAGGTTGCTGTGAGCTGTGACTCCATGGCACTCTACCAAGGGCGACAAAAGTAAGACTCTGACAATAAATAAATAAATAAATAAAACCTGTGAGCTCTTTGAGAGCAGAAACAATGCTGTATCTGGAAATTTCAGAAGGAGCCTGGTTCTCCCAGGCCCAAGGAAAGTTTCCTTCAGTTTTGAGTGTACTTCCCAGGATGGCCACTAGAGAGAGCATGGACATCACTACAAAACAATCCGTGTGTGTGTGTGTGTGTGTGTGTGTGTGTGTGTGTGTGTGTGTAAGTCACAGGTGAAGGGTACAGGGGAGGCTTCTATACTGCACCTGAGAGACAATTAACTACTGGAGTGAAGATAGGATCCACCCAACTCAATCCTAGAGCAGTGGGTTCCAGGACAGACTCCACTGATGGGACCTAAGCTCCCGATTTTTCCCTACAACTGAAGGCCCACCCCTTGTTTTTTTCTTCTCCTACTGCTTGCCTCTAACCTCCCTCTAACCTTCTTCTTCCATGCCTCATCTGCACCCTCAACCTTCCCATGCATAATTATTTGTACTTGCCTGAATGGGCCTTGCTGTACATACCTCTGGGCCTTTGTGCTTGCTGTTTTCCCAGCTACAGATGACCTCAGCCTCTGGCCGCTTCATCAGGCTGACTTTTCTTTCACATACTTCAAGAAATCCCCCAGACTTGACTCCCAGACTGACCTTGCCCCTAAATGTTGTGATTGTTCACTGTTCTGCCTCCTGGACAGGACCAGCCTATAGGAGACACCAGTAGATGTGTGCAAAATTAATGAATGGCTTAGTTCTCTTGTGTGTACAACCCTCAGCATGTGTGGGACTTCTCCAGACCCTTATGTGCACCATGCCCTCCCTGTGCCTGACTGTGGGTCAATGTAATATTTTTGCATACTGTTCTAGCAAATAAAGAAATGTGACACAATGGAATATATGAGACTTCAAGTTCAAGTCCTGGGTCTACCATCTGGTATATGACCTTGTGCACGTGTAGCCTCTCAGAGTCTTTGTTTCCTCTTTTGTAAAATGGGGATAATCACACTTCTGCTCTGCCTTGTGGTGAGAATCAAATTAGACCATGCGTGTGAAACACCCAGCATTAGTCAATTAGGAGTCCTCCTCCCCCACCTCGAACTTGGAAATAAAATTGCCCTCTGAGTCTTAAGCCAGTAAAATCCACGCATCACAGAGAAGAGCCAGGTGGGGGAGTGAATGAGGCGAGAGATGGTTTTGTAAACGACTGAAGAGTTTTGTGAACGGTGCAAACCGCAATCAAGGTGACCCGCCTGTAATCTCAGGGAGGCAGGGCGAGGATGTGATTGAAATTGAGAAAGCAGAAGCCTAATCAATTGCATTGTGCTCTATCTGAAGGGAACAGAAGGCTGCACAGAAAAGGGGGTGCAAGGGAAAATTCATGTAGCTGCTGCAGAGAGAGAGACCAGGAACCAGTAGGCCCAGGGATTCCCAGGCTCAGAGGCTCTGGCCTCTGCTGATGCCTTATACATCAGACTCTGCTGAGGAATAGTGAGGGGCCTAGTGAACTCCAGATGGTTCACTGCCCCACTGGACCTTTATTGAAACCAAATGAGTGTCCAGGCACTAGGAAGAGCCCTATCCAACAGACAAGAATATTCTGGTCCCAGGAAAAGACTACAGAGACTAACAGCACTGATTTTGGAGTCAGAAGACTTGGTGTAAACCCCTGCTCTGCCACTTCTGTTCTGCAAACCTTGAAAACACCAATTTACTTCACTGTGCCTTAGCTTCATTATTAGCAAAAATGAAGGTACAGTAGGCTTCTCAGCATAGAGTTCTGTGAGGATTAAATGACAGCATGCACTTAGCAGGATGCCTGGCACAGAATAAACAATTTGTAAATGTTAGAGACAAAGAGAGCTAATGGGTATTGAGCATTTTATTGCTATTTCACAGATGAGTTCATTGAGGCTTGGAGAGATTAATAACTTGCACAACATCACACAGATTCACACCAGGCGGGACAGCTCCAAAGCTGTGCTCTTATCTTCTTTCTTCATGATAGGTAGAAACACTGGCTTCTGCCTTATACATCAGACTCTTGTGAGTCTGGTCTGTCAGAAATTCTGGCCCTCAGGAAGATTTAGTCCCTGAAAGCGTGCAGAGCTAAGGCTCCTACCCCTATGACAACCTTTCTAAGCAGCCACGTGGTCTCTTTCCATATTATTTCTCGTATTTATCAACCCCCAGTACAGAGCTAGGTGCAGGGAACTCTCAATCTACATTGACTCTTTATCCCCCTTTCCTTCAGGCCACTCAATATGGGGGGGTCTCCTCAGGGAATTTTCTACTAATAACTAGAGGAGGGAGGATCTCTCTCCCTTTTATACACACACACACACACACACACACAATATATATACTCTCCACCCAAAGCCTGGAGGCAATGAAGTCCAAGAAAGACCAAGAGCCTCGGTGTGAGACCTGTGTTCAAATCCCAGCTGTCACATACAGCTATGAGCTTGGTATATCATGTAACCCTTGAGCCTCAGTTTTCTCATCTACAGATGGGGCTAATCATAGAACCAGGCTCAGGACTGGATTAAATGAAAAGATGGATGTAAACACATCTGACATTCAGCAGACACTTAACAAATAAGTTATTATTACTATTTTTCTCCCCTGTTCTCCAGGGCAGGGACAGGTTTTATTTGCATTTGTGCCCCAGGGTCCTGCTTACCAAAGGGTCAATGTTTCACGGAGTCAATACTTAGTAATTGTTGGCCACTTGCAGTAATGATTCCCAGCTACTTTCCCTGTCCATTCCCTTACTAAATTAGAGGGTTAACAGACAGTTCCTGGTGGGAGAGGTAGGAATCCTGATTCCCTGCTCCTCTTGCTTCTACATGGAGGCATGTCAGCTGCCAGAGTTTTTTGAAGGGGGAGTGGATGCAGGACAATTTGTCATTGCACAGCAGTGAAGCTTGTTTAGCACCACTGATCCTTTCCCACTAAATGCTAGTAGGAGCCTCCAGTCTTTGTGACAAACAAAACTGCCTCCAAACCTCTTCAAAAGCTCCCTTGGGGGCAGAACTCCCCTAGTAAGATCCAAGGGGTTGAACTAACCTTCAGGCCTCTCCTTTCTCCTCTCCTCTTTCTGTACATTTTTAGGGAATCTGACAGCTGCAGAGGATTCACTGTGGCCTTCATCTCTGTCCCTGTGGAATGGGGACCTAAGGTTGTTCTATTGTTTGCAATGAATGGTAAATCAGGCTAAAATCAGGTAAAGAATTAGCAAAACCATTATGCACAGATTGAAGGCTTCATAAGTAATGGAGGTACATTTTGATCTATCTCCAACTGCCTGTCTTCTGTATGTTCCTTCCACTTCATCTTAAATTCACATGGAGATGAGCAGTGAGACTTCTGAGTGACTTAACACTTCACACTTTGAATATTGGGTGCTTGGTAGATATCAGGGCACTGCTTGGTAGATATCAGGGCAGGCTCTTATCTTCCCCTGCTGCTCTTAATAGCCACACCTGTCCCCTCCACCTCCCACTGGTCATCAAAAGGAAGGTTCAGGGGAAGTTAATGGCTCAAGAAGTCATATTTTCATTTTCCTTATTTACAAAACCAATAAACACACACACATACTATTCAGAAGGGTGGTGAGCCCTCAGCAACTCGCAAACCTGTGCCTGGGCCCCAGTCTTGGGCCACAGCATCCACTCAGCAGGAAAGGGCTCCCACAAAGACATTCTGTCTTTGTAACTTACAAACACAAAAGATTGAGAGTAGGAGGTAAATTCTTGGCACCTGGGGGTGGTGCCTGTGGTTTAAAGGAGTAGGGCACGGCCCCATATACCAAAGGTGGCGGGTTCAAACCCAACCCCGGCCAAAAAACTGAAAAGAAAAACAAAAAAATTCTTGGCACCTGGACCAGAGTGGGATGACAGGAGGGTAAGGAGATAAGTGAGGGGATGGAGGGGAGGGACGTACAGTTTTATAAATAACTAGACAAGAACTGAGCATTTGAGGGGGGTGAGGAGAGAGAGACTCGAGGCATGTAGGGGCCCAAGTGGGAAGGGAGAGCTTGTGCTTGTGGCCAGAGTGGGTGAGGGATGAGCTCTGAGCCTCCATTTGTCCCACCTATAAAATGAGTGGGCTGCACTAGATGGTGTCAAAGCACGCCACCTCCTGTGACACACTAAGACTCTATAGGGTTCTGGATGGTACCTGTGGCTCAAGGAGTAGGGTGCCAGCCCCATATACCAGAGGTGGAGGGTTCAAACCCAGTCCTGGCCAAAAACTGCAAAAAAAAAAAAAGACTCTATAGGGTTCTAAGCCTGGGGGTCTTCGGGACAAGAGCCCTGGAGATTGGCAAGGGCTGGTAGGCACCACCAGAGAGGTGGTTGATGTCTGAGCAGGCTATGTTTGGTCCCCAGGCTGATACTGTGGTTCTGAGGAGGTGAAGTAATCCTCCAGGAAGGACTGCAGGTACTCGAACGTAGGCCTCTCTTCTGGGTCTAGACGCCAGGTCTGCTCCATGGCCTCATACAAGGACGCGGGGCAGCCGGGGGGGCATGGCATGTGATAGCCATGCTCCACCTTTTCCAGCACTTCCCGGTTATTCATGCCTGAAAGGTGAGGCTCCCTCAGTCAGGAGGCCTGGCACCTCCCAAAGGGACAACCAGGAGGAAGTTTCCCCCTTGGCCACTTCCCCAGGCATCCACCCACTCCCATTCCCAGCAAACCTGGGTAGGGAACTCGGCCCTTGCTGATGAGTTCAGTGAGCAAGATCCCAAAAGACCACACATCTGACTTGACGGTGAATCTGCCAAAGATGGCAGCCTCTGGGGCTGTCCACTTGATGGGGAACTTGGCCCCTGGAAAAGTTTGGGGAAAAGGGAAGGTTAGTGAGGAGGTCTCTGGGAACAACTGGGTAAAGACCACAGGGACTTTAAGAATGGGGATCTTGGCTGGGAGAAGTGGCTCATGCCTATAATCCTAGCACTCTGGGAGGCTGAGGCAGGTGGATTGCTTGAGCTCACGAGTTTGAGACCAGCCTGAACAAAAGTAAGACCCCATCTTTACTAAAAATAGAAAAACTGAGGCAAGAGGATCTCTTGAGCCCAAGAGTTGGAGGTTGCTGTGAGCTATGATGCCACAGTACTCTACCCAAGGCAATAACTTGAGCCTCTGTCTCAAAAAATAAAAATAAGAAAGAATGAGGATCTTGGGGACCCTGAGCGCAGAGGTCTCTGGGTCTAGCAGAAAGGACTCCTAGACCTACTACCTACATAGTGGGTAGCTAGTCAGCACCTACTGTGTGTTCCACACAGTGATGGGCACTTTCCAAACCATTGTAATAATTCCCATAATAATAACAGCTAAGGCTTGTATAGCTCTCACAATGTGCCAGGCAGTGTGTTAAGTGATATACATGCATTAACTCATTTAACCCTCACAGAAACCCTGTGAGGTAGACGCTATTATTATCCTCCTTTTACTGATGAGGAAAAGGAGGTGCTGAGTAGTTCAGTGACTTGCCCAGATCACACAGTTAATGAGTGGCTGGCATTCCTACCCAGACATTCCAGCTACAAAGTTCACACTGTTACACTCTATTGTATCTCATTTAAGAATTATAGCAGTGTTGGGCAGCACCTGTAGCTCAAAGGAGTAGGGCGCCGGCCCCATATGCCGGAGGTGGCGGGTTCAAACCCAGCCCTGGCCAAAAACTGAAAAGAAAAAAAAAAAAAAGAATTATAGCAGTGTCTTAGCAGGTGCTTAGTAAATACCTGTTTTACTCTTGCCTGAATATTTTCATTTTACAAAATAGAAAGGCAGCTCATAGTAGTTAGGTGATTTGCCCAAGTCCACATGGCTAGTAAGTGGCTGACCTAGGATTTGAACCCAGAATTGCCTCTCACACTGTGTTAGGATTGGGATGCCCTAGACGATCTGAGATGAGGAAGGGTTTCTGAGTATGTGGGGCCCTATGGCAGCTCCTTGATGCATTGGGAACTCTTGGGTGGTGGGGTGAGGTGGGTCACCTTGCTGGGGGTTGTACTCATCATCCTTGATGAGGCGAGCCAGCCCGAAGTCAGCGATCTTGCACACCAGTCGCTCCCCCACCAGGATGTTTGCTGCCCTCAGGTCGCGGTGGATGTAGTTCATGCGTTCCATGTAGGCCATGCCCTCTGCTACCTGGGTTAAGGTGTGCAGAGATGGGAGCTCATGGGAACTCACAGCACCTGGTCCTCCGTGAGGGTGGAGGGGCCATTTGAAAAACCCACTTTCCAGATGAGGAGACTGAGGCTCAGAGAAGTAGTACCCTGCCTGTTAGCACAACCGATACAGTGGACAGGGCCGCACTCCCAGGGCTAGGCTAGAGGTGTTCCAAGGTACAGGGATTTGTGAAAGATTATTAGAAGGTAGGTCTGGGAGTTAAAGGGTGCTGTCGCAGTTTACCTGGGCTGCCATGTCCACCAACTGGGGCAGCCGCAAATCCTGGCCTTCCCGGCCCTTGAGAAACTCCAGCAAGCTACCTGGCGAGAGGAATCCGTGGTTATCAACCGCTAGATCTTCCCAGCTTCAGGCCCGCCCACTCTCTCTTGGCACCGCCCCTATCCCCGAACCAGCAGTCCCAGCTTGGCCTCGCCCCCTTACCCCCCACCCCATCTCTCCTAGATCCACCCCCTACTCGGGATCCTGTCGGAATGCCTCTAGCCGTCGTTGATCTCGCCCAGGCTGTGCTGCCAGACACCTATTCTGCACATCTCGTTTCTTCTCTTCCTTGGTCCCCCTGGGCACAACCAACTCAGACTCCTCCCAGACCCTCCATCACAGATTCTGCGTTCGTTTGCCCAAGCCCCACCTCCACCCCTCACCCAGACGTCGGAGACTCGGCCCCCGCCCCCAGCACACCTGTCGCGTCCCACTTGCCGGCTCCTCACTGGAACTCTGCCCATTGTTTCCCGTCCCCCCACGGATCGCCGCCCAGGTCCCCAGAGAAACCCACAATTTCGCCCTGACTCCGCCCCTCACCGTGGCACATGTATTCCGTCACGATGTAGATGGGCTCCTCGGACACCACAGCGTACAGCTGCACCAGCTTGTCGTGCCGCAGCAGCTTCATGACCTGCGCCTCCTCCAGGAAGGCCTTCGGGGACATGGTGCCCTCCTTCAGCGTCTTGACCGCCACCTTTGTGCAGCCGTTCCACGTGCCTGCCCAGAAGCCGCGTCTGGTCAGGACCCGCTTCCTGCCAGCCCAGACCCTCGCCCCCGCCACTGGCCCAGGGTTCCCGAGACCTCCTTACCCAGCCATACATCCCCGAAGCAGCCGGTGCCCAGCCGGCGCTCGAGCGCAATGGAGGTGCGGCTGATTTCCCAAGCGTCCTTGGCCAGGCCCAACGTCTGTGGTTTCATGGTGGTGCAGGGTGCCGTGAGCAGGTAGCACAGCCCGTCATTCATTTCTGGGGTAAGGAAATGAATGTCACAGGCAGGCCAGGATGCCCCCCCCCATACTTCTCCTTCCACCCAGCCAGCACCAGACCCCAAGATTAGTTATAAAGAACTAGACCCCAGGTGAGATTACAGGCCAGGAAGGAAAGCAACCTGGCACACTAAATAGGTGAATGTGTAAGTGCCCTGGGAAGGGAGTGGCAACTAGAGGGAGAGATGATTTCTGCCAGCACTGGGGACCTTCCTGTAAGGACTAGGAGCATGATTATAGGAGGTAGCCTCTGGCTGTGCCTTGAAGGATCAGGTGGGATTCTGGCAGGTAGAAATAGATTTGGGGATTCCAGGCAAAGATATGGATATGAGGCCCATACCCATCCATGGACCCTATCTTTGGCCTAACCAATCAAGGCAGAAACTTGAGCACATGGCTGGGCACCTGTAGCTCAATAGTTAGCCACATGCACCAGGGCTGGTGGGTTCAAACCTGACCCAGGCCTGCTAAACAAACAAAAAAGAAATAGCTGGGCATTGTGATGAGCACCTGTAGTCCCAGCTACTAGGGAGGCTGAGGCAAGAGAATTACTTGAGCCCAAGAGTTTGAGGTTGCTGTGAGCTATGATGTTAAAGAACTCTACAGAGGGTGGCAAAGTGAGACTCTGTCTCAATTTTAAAAAAAGAAAGAAAGAAACTTGAGCATTGACTCCCACCTTCCCCTCAACCCCACAGCCAGTCCTCCATCAAGTCAGGCTTGTTCTGCCTCCAGCCAGCATCAGAATCATCTGTTTCTCCTTTACTCTGCTGTCACCAATTCAGTGTGGCTGCCATCACCTGCCACCTAGATGCTGTCTCCAAATGGACCCTCTTTCTGCCTTGCCTCCGGCAACCAAGTTCCATATAGCAACCAGAGTTTCTCACCGAAGTGCAGACCAGCCTTAGTTACCCCCTGCTCAGGTCCCTGTGACAGTGGCTCCCTGCCTGCCCACAAAACAGTCCTGGTATCTTAGTGGGGGATTCAGACCACACATACTGCTCAATAAAGTTTCCACAGATTCAGGACTTGAGGCAAGTAACTGCCCAATTCTCTGTCAGGGGTCACTGCTTGGCAGTGTCCTTGAAAATTCCACAGAGCAGGATCCTGGTCTGGGAGCCCCAATACTTGGGTTCTAATCTTAGCCTGGCTACTACTGCTTTGGTAGACACTTCCATTCTTTGAGGCAGTGGTCTCCCCATCTGGACAACGCATCAATGAGTTGGTTCAGGGATCTGAAGCGCCTGCTCTCACCCATGTAGTGCTGCACCAACTCCTGCACCGAGCTGAATTGGGCCCGTGTGGTGATGTAGTATCCACCCGTGTCCAGCTTGCGGATCTTGTAATGCTTCACATGATCACCTCTGGTCTGGTCCCAATCACGGATGGACAAGGAGTAGGCACCTGCAGGGAAGGATCACTTTGGAAGAGCCCAAGTCAAGACCGCATCCCTAGAACCCAGTCCCAGTCTTAGCTCTGCCCCTCAAACCTGGTCCCAAATCTTGTCCTTGACCAAGAAACACCCCATGGCTCCTAGCCCTTCTGGACCTCCATGTTGGCTGGTGGCATCGCTCCCCCTACCTTTGGTGGTCTCGCTCTCCCGAATGAGAAAGGCCCCCTGAAGGTTGCCTGGGGAGAGCAACTGCCTCTCTGCATCCTTCCGCCCGATCTTTCCAAAGTACCACCTGTTGGGAAGGGCAGAGGAGAATCAGACATACTTTGTTCAAGACCCAACTCATCCTCCTGGACAGTCACCTCACAAGTCAAGACTCAGTTTCCTCACATGTAAAATGGTCTCGTACACCTGTTTCACAGCCTAGTCAGGAGAATTATAGAGAAGGGGAAGGATGCACACACTAGGTGCCCAGTGAAGGTTAGGCTTCATTAATCCTAGCCTATCAATGAGTTTCTCTCTCTCTCTCTCTTTTTTTTTTTATGAGACAGAGTCTCACTTTATAGCCCTGGCTATTTTTAGAGATGGAGTCTTGCTCTTGCTCAGGCTTGTCTGGAACTCTGAGTTCAAGAGATCAGCCCACCTTGGCCTCCCCGAGTGCTAGGATTTCAGGTGTGAGCCACCATGCTCGACCTTATGTACTGTTATTAACTCCCTTTAGACAGATGAGGAAATGGGGCTATCTAGTGGTTAAGCAACTTGCCCAAGGCTACATGGCTCTTAAGCAGTGCTGCCAGAACAGGAACACAAGCTGTCAGCTCTAAGGCTTGTGCTCTTAACCACAATACTACCCTTAACTACAACATTGCACAGAGCACCTCTCAGAGCTTCATGACACTGCTCCAAAACGTGGACACTAGCACGACCCCCCAACAACTCTACCTTCGGCATCATTTCCTCTCCTCTCCTTCATGCCTCCTACCACCCTCCCCAGACCGAGACCTCACCCTACTTGAGCTCTGGACCTTGTTCACTCTCTTCTGCTCAGAGACTCTCCCACACCCCACTGAGCAGTCCCCACCTGCAGCCTCCCTATCCCGACAAGCTCTAAACATGCCCACAGCTCTTCCTTCCCCCAAAGAAACTGCTCTAACCTCCACTTTGCCATCTACTTTCTTCTACTCTATCTTCTCACCTCCTTTTCACTTGACAAAGTGCTTCACACTTGGGTCTCCACTTCTCACCTCCCACTCCCTCCCAGGCTCTGCTCTCTGGCCTCCACCCCTGGTTCACATAGAGAAATCTCTCACCAAAGTCACACACCCCCTCCCCCTTGCCAAATCCAGTGGTAGCCTCGGACACCCTTCCACTTGTTTCCTGAAACTTCTCTGTTATCTCAGCTGTTCTGACTTGGCCTGGCCTGGTTTTCTTCACTTCTCCAATGGTTACAGTAGCTGTCCCCAAAGTTGGGTCCTAGGGCCCAACTCTTTCTCATTCTCTTCCCTCTTCCTTCACCTCCCAGTAGCTTTCATTAACATCTTTGCTCTGATGAGCCCCCAATTTTTCCCCTTCCCTTCGGGTGTGCCCTTTGCAAGAGCTACAACCAACAAACTAAGGAGTCTTTAGTGTCAATTAGGAAAGGGTGCCCCTTCCTCTGGGCTGATTCAGGAGCAAGCACAACCTAATTTAATTGCTGGAAGCTTCTTCCACACGGGTTACTCTCCTTGAACCTTAATTCAACAAGTTTTCACCAGAACCTATATACCTGTACCTGCTCTGGTGTTCCCCACCTTAGCAAATAGCACCCTCATCCACGCAGCTCCTTATGAAGATTTTGAGTCACCCTTGATCCCTCCCAATCCCCAAAGCCCAACAGCAAATCAGTCACCAAGTCCTAGAGATTCCTACTCTGCAAAGTCTCTTCAGTACTCTCTTTTCTTATATGTGTATGGCATATGTGAGGATAGCTTTTTATTTTTTTTTATTTTTTTTATTTTTTTTTATTTTAATTTTAATTTTAATTTTTTGAGACAGAGCCTCAAGCTGTCCCCCTGGGTAGAGTGCCATGGCATCACAGCTCACAGCAACCTCCAACTCCTGGGCTCAAGCGAGTCTCCTGCCTCAGCCTCCTGAGTAGCTGGGACCACAGGCGCCCGCCACAACACCCGGCTATTTTTTGGTTGTAGCCATCATTGTTGTTTGGCGGGCCTGGGCTGGATTCGAACCTGCCACCTTGGGTGTACATGGCTGGCGCCTTAGCCACTTGAGCCACAGGTGCCGAGCCGAGGATAGCTTTTAAAAAGCTCTCAGGAGACCCAGTTTCCCCATCTGTAAAATGGGAACAATAATAATATCAGTAATAATATGGTGATGAATCAAAGTAAAGTACCTTGTTGTAGTATCTCAAGTACATAAATGTATTCCATGAATGGCCACTTCCTGTCTCCATAATAGAATTAATACTAAATAGACCAGGCATGGTGGTTCATGCCTGTAATCCTAGCACTTTGGAAGGCTGAGGTGGGAGAATCACTTGAGGCCAGCATTTGAGACCAGGCTGGGCAATACAGAAAGACCCCATTTCTACAAAAATAAAATAAAATAAAATTAGCTGGGTGTGGTGACACACACCTGTAGTCCTAGCTACTCACAGACAGAGGCAGGAGGATTACTTGAGACCAGGAATTTGAGGTTGCAGTGATGCCACTGCACTCTAGCCCAAACAACTCTGTTTTATTTTTTTTAGGCAGTCTCACTCTGTTGCCCTGGGCTGTGGCATCATAGGTCACAGCAACCTCAAGCTCTTGGGTTCAAGAGGTCCTCTTGCCTCAGCTTCCTGAGTTGCTGGGACTGCAAGTGCCTGCCATAACGGCTGGCTAGTTTTTCTACTTTTAATAGAGACAAGGTCTCGCTCTTGCTCAGGCTGGTCTCAAACTCTTGAGCTCAGGCAATCTCAGGCAATCTACCCACGCCTTGGCCTGCCAAAGTGCTGAGATTATAGGCATGAGCCACCCAGCCTGGCTTAGATAGCTCTATTTTAAAAACACCCAAAACAGGGTGGCACCTGTGGCTCAAAAGGGTAGGTTGCGGGCCCCATATGCTGGAGGTGGTGGGTTCAAACCCAGCCCCGGCCAAAAAATGCAAAACAAACAAACAAAAAACACCCAAAACAAATAAAAAACCTAAATAATGCTCCTTTGCATTTGTTTAGCACTTTACAGTTGTTTAAAGCTCATACAGCGTTGTGCTATTGTTATCACTGAGAAGCAATATGTATAATGCTTAGCAAAATAGTCTCACTTTGTCACCCTTGGTAGAGTGCTGTGGTGTCATAGCTCACAGCAAACTCGAACTCTTGGGCTCAAGCAATATTCTCTTTTCTTTTTTTTGAGACAGAGTGTCACCATGTCACCCTCAGTAGAGTGCCATGGCATCACAGCTCCCAGCAACCTCCAACTCTTGGGCTTAAGTGATTCTCTTGCCTCAGCCTCCCAAGTAGCTAGGACTACAGGCGCTCGCCACAACACCCAGATATTTTTTCTTTTTTGTTGCAGTTTTCATTGTTGTTTAGCTGGCCTGGGCCGCATTCGAACCCACCAGCCTCGGTGTATGTGGCTGGCACCGTAACCACTGTGCTAAGGGCACCAAGGCTCAAGCGATTCTCTTGCCTCAGCCCCCCAAATAGCTGAGATTATTGGTGCCTGCCACAACGCTTGGTTATTTTTAGAGACAAGGTCTCACTCTTGCTCAGGCTGGTCTTGAACCCATGAACTCAGGCGATTTGCCCACCTCGGGCTCCCAGAGTGTAATGATTATAGGCATGAGCCATTGCGCCTAGCCTATGTGCTTCAGTTTTCATTTGTTAAATAGGATAATCATGGTTTCTAACTCTGTTAATACACAGAAAGCACTCTGAATAGTACCCAGAACATAGAGCACATACATGCCATATAACTATGATCTACTATTATTATTATCATTATCGTCTTCCTTTTTCTCACAACAGCCTTATGAAATTATAGATAACAAGATAGACTCAGAGTGGAACAATGACTCGTCAAAGAAGTGGATTTGGAGTCTGAACTCCAAGGTCCCACCCACAAGGCTGGCCTTGCCCCATCCCCACTCACTCTTCAGCCTGGATGGTGTCCGCAGGAGCCACATAGTTGCTGGGAATGTAGCCAGTTTGTCCAGAGCTGAGGGACCGAGCCTCCCACCAATCACCTTCACTATAGGCACAGAACACGGGTGTGGTCAGCAAGCACCAGGCAGGGATTCACCTTGGACACCCCCCAGGGGCTTTTGTCTGTTTAGTCCCCAGCCACTGAAGCTGCCCCAGGAGGATTTTTCCCTGCACAGAAAGAATAAATGGGGGACATCTAGGCCTCCAGCCTTCTTCCGTTGGTTCCTCGGCTGGGTTGGGTTTCGGGGATATAGCTATGTTATATCCCTAATGAAAATCCCCCAATGGCTATGTATTTCCTTCTGGATAAAATCCAGACTCCTCCATGTGGCTTAAAAAGCCCCACAGATTTTTCCTCCAATGACCTCTCCAGCCACTCTTCTCTTCATTCTGCATTCCATACTTTATGAACCACCTAGACTGAACTAATTGGTGATTTCCAGAACTCATTTATTCTCCTTCTCTTTCTTTTTTCTTACCCTCCTTTACTGTCTATTCATTTCTCAAGCCTCAGAATAAGAATCACCTCTTCCAGGAAGACTTCCCTGATCACCACTACTCTGGGGACCATGTTTGATGTTCTTCTTGTGTCTATAGTTCCTCACATTCCCCATGTACAGTAGCAGTCACCTGGGGTTTTTTGTTTTGTTTTGTTTTGTTTGAGACAGAGTCTTACTTTGTCGCCCCCCATAGAGTGCTATAGCATTATAGCTCACAGCAACCTCAGACTCTTGGGCTTAAGTGATTCTCTTGTCTCAGCCTCCCCAATAGCTGGGACTATAGCCACCCGCCACAACACCTGGCTATTTTTGGTTGCAGCTGTCATTGTTGTTTTAGCAGGCCCAGCCCAGGCTCAAACCACTAGCTTCGGTGTATGTGGCTGGTGCCCTACTCACTGAGCTACAGGTGCCGAGCCTCACTTGGGGTTTTTATTGTCATATATAGTGTCCTCAACTAGGCTGGAGCTTTCTGAGGACAGGTATAGATAGGACTCCTGTCTGGGTCCTCATACATGCCATGCCCTGAGCTAGGTAGCCTAGTCACTTACGTGTTGTTCAGGATATGGAACTTCTCGCCCTTGGTGAAGGTGAGGTCATCTTCTGTCCGGGCCTCATAGTCATACAGGGCGATGAACAGCGTCACCCCAGTCCCTGCAGAGTCAGGGCTACTCAGCAGAGTAGGGCACGGGACAGAAGCACCAAGGGGGCTGCACCCCAGATTCCCGTTTCCCAGCCAAGCACAGTGCCTCCTCACTGCTGCAGTGTCCTCATACCCAAAGGCCTTTGGAGTTCAGTGAATTTCTGATTTGAGCTCCATAGCTTGGCCCCATGGATTGAGGACACACACCTTTAAGCCTCTCTCTCCCACCATGGGGAGTCCCATGTTGCCCACTCTTCCTCTTCCCCACCAAGAAGACTTCGCATACAGGAAGTGGCACCTAAGAAGTGGGTTCTCTTTTTGAGACAAAGTCTCATTCTGTCACCCTGGGTAGAGTGCCATGGCATCATTGTAGCTCACAGCAACCCTAAACTCTTGGGCTTAAGTGATCTTCTTGTCTCAGCCTCTGGAGTAGCTGGGACTAAAGGTACTGGGATTATAGGCGCCTGCTATAATGCCTGGCTAGTTGGCTAGTTTTTCTATTTTTAGTAGAGATGGGGTCTCACTCTTGCTCAGTCTGTTGTCAAACTCCTGAGCTCAGGCCATCCATCTGCCTTGGCCTCTCAGAGTGCTAGGATTACAGGCATGAGCCACTATGCCTGGCCAAAGTGTTCTTTTCACCACATACATCTGTCATCAGGGACCCCTCTCAGACTCAGAAGTGATCTGTGTCTCCTCCTCAGACTAGGCTTCTGAGGGTAGGGCTGTCCATGCGCCCTCAGCCTGGGTGACTGTGAAAGCAGGGTTGTTGGATCCTCCACATTATACTGGAGGCACCTAAGGACAAGTGAAGGTCCTCCCTTGCCCCAGTTTCTCCCAGGGTTCAGGCAGTGCCTGCCTCCTGCTCATGGGACTCACCTGAGATGCCTCTGATGGTGCCACTATCAAGGAAGGTGGGGTTGGTGGGCTGAGGGGACAAGTTGGCATAGTTGGGGATGTGTGTAAAGGAGGATACAGTCCGGGCTTGAGTGGGGTCAGGGCCGTAGCGGTCCGCTGCCCCGTAGCCCCTGAAGTCCCCTTCCAGGCCAGCATCCTCCTTGGACCCCGGCTCCAATTTCTTGCAGAACACACAGCCCATTCCAGGTTTCCTGCTACAGAATGGGGGCATGCTTCACTCAGGGGCCCCTGCCAGGTGCACCACCCTATGCACACGAGAATTCACACACATACAACCTCATCCGGGCACATGGCTTTCCCTCTCAGGCCTGGGTTGAGGTCCTCCCTGGGAGGGTTAAGGCCCTGCACGCTGCGGTGGCCTCCCAGTATGTGCCTGCCCAGTGTTCTTCTTCCCACCAATTCCCATCCACACCTCTGGGGCTGGCATTCTACACTGAGATAATTGTTCTGCTTATTTGTACATTTTTTACTTCCTATTGCCTTGATGTGTTGTGTTTCTGTGACTCCTTCAGTGTGTTTGTGGGTGTATGTCTTTGTGTGTCTCTAAATATGTGTGAGTTTGCTTTCTGCGTGTGTGTGTGTGTGTGCAGGTCTCTGTGGATGTCTGTGTGTGCATAGGACTTTGTATAAGGACCCCCTGTGTTTGGGTCTGTGTGTGTATGTCTGTAAGACCATGTGAATACCCGTGAGTATCTGTGTGCATGTGTGTGTGCTGGCGTGTGTGCATGCAGGTCTGTGTGAGTAGTCATCTTTGTGCCTGTGTGTCCGTGAGTGTGTACATTACTCCATGTGGGAGGGAAGTGCCTGCCTCTGTGTGTGTGTGTGTGCACGTCTATGGATCTGCATGTGCTTGTTTGAGTGTGAGGCTGTGAGCCTGCACCTGGAGATTCCCTGCAGAGGGGGATCAAGGCCATTTCCTGTTGTGGGTCCAGCCTCCAGCCTCTCAAGCTGCCTCATTCTGGCTCCCCCATCTGTTACCTAGCAACAGGGCCCTCGTAGGAGGAGGGGGCTGTAAAGAGTTGTGGGCCCCAGTAAGGCCACCCCCCACCCTGATTTCTGGCCCTGAAATCCCTCAGTCCCCTCTCCTCCCACTCACCCCTCAGGCCCCTGCTCCTGGGTCAGTGGGGCTGCGGCATGGTCCGCGGGAGGGGCCAGTGACCTGAGGGTGAGACAGAAGGGCATGGAAGATGAAGGCCCTGCCAACATTCCCGCCAGCCAGCTGCCCAGCTCCTGCCCTCTTCAGAAAGCCAGAAGGCCTGGGCTCTGCCCCGGCATGATTTCTGCCTTCGTTTTCCTTCCCACCTCCCCTGGCCCATTACACATCCACCTTCACAAATGACACACCACCCACACCAGCTCTCTCACACTCACATCCACCTGACACACCAGCACACAGTCGCACAACACTCACAGCATACATTTGTATGACTGTGCTTGCCAACACTGCAATATACCAATACTGGTGCTCATACCAGCCAGAGCTCTGAAGCACAGACGCGCGCGCACACACGTACATACACATATAACTCTGCCTCAGGTTAGCAGACTAACATCTTCGGACACGCATATATTTTCACGTTAGACCCATACGGATTTTGATCAAGGTAGGCTCAGCTCACTCACAGGCCCCAGTCACTGTCTCCTTAACACAAGCCCTTCCCCGAGCCCTGCCTCTGCTCCCCACCTGGGCTGGATGAATTCCAGCAGTCTCAGGGTCACACTTGGTGGCAGAAGGAAAGTGGACACCTACCTCCAGAGCTCTACTCCAATCCCCACATCAGGAAAAGGCCCAGGTCAGAAGCTGGGGCCACCAGAGTCCTTTGAAAGAGCCAAGTTTTTTCTGGCAGCTCTGTCCTCTGAGCAAAAGAGCAAGCAGATCATTGAGCAAGGATCCCCCACACCCTGCCAGAAATTCTATCATTGCAACACCAGAGAGGAACTGGCTGGGGACAGGGTTCAATTTCTTAAGATGCAAGAGGAATGGAGACTTGCAGGGTGGAGCCAAGCCACTGAACCCTGATTTGCCCTAAAAGAATCCAAAGGTCCTAGGGATAGGAGCCCCCAAGGATCCCACCCCAAGTCCAGTTACCTTTATGAAAATCCCCCTCCTCTGCCCTTCTGCCAGGGTGCTGCTCTTTCAACCTAACACCACTCACCTCTTCTGGGAAGCCTTCCTGGATCCACCAAGTCCAGTTGTCTGTGATCTGATGGTTCCGTTACATCAGTGTTCTTACCTCCACCCTAGTCCCACCCACCCTGCTAAACCCTCACTGTAATTGTTCTCCCGTGTGTGTTGGGGGTGGGGATGACATCCATGTGGTGAACTGTGGGGCGGGCTGTGGTGAGAAGCCTGCCCTAAAATAGCCCCCGTTCAGCAGGCCCTGGCTGAGATCTTTTCCCCAGGACCCCTCCCCTGGGTGAAACCACTGTGTCTGAAAGGCCCCAGCATGCTGCAGGGTGGTTAAGGAAGGGCAGAGAGTAGGGTGGTGGGGAGGAAGGCGGCTAGGGCCTGCCAAAGAGATTTCAGGGCTGGTGAGAGGAGAGATGGGGCTTATAAGAAAACAAAGCTGGGTGGCGCCTGTGGCTCAAGGAGTAGGGCGCTGACCCCATATGCCAGAGGTGGTGGGTTCAAACCCAGCCCTGGCCAAAAAAAAAAAAAGAAAACAAAGCCTGGGTGGCACCTGTGGCTCAAAGGAGTAAGGCACCGGCCCTGTATGCCAGAGGTAGGGGGTTCAAACCCAGCCCCAGCCAAAAACTGCAAAAAAAAAAAGAAAAGAAAACAAAGCCTACGGGGTGAGAATGAAGATCTTCTCACAGGAAGACACACACACGTCAAATGTTCCAGGGTTGACACCCAGATCCATGTACCCCTCGAACCCATTCTCAGTCACAAATGACATCTCAGCTACTACATATGGAGACACCAAGCTGCCCTGTACAGATTCCCAGATTCACACATCTTCAAGTGCATACACACCTTATATATACACACCTCCAGTCCTCCATCTGCACAAAGACACACACAGAGTCTCTCCACAAGAATAGCAAATATGGGCAGTGGATAGGGCACCAGTCACATACACCCAGGTTGGTGGGTTCAAACCTGGCCCAGGGCCAGCTAAACAACAATGACAACT